CACGAATGTCTCGACTGTGGATGTTAGCAGGGTCAGAGCACTGCAAGAGCCGATCACGTTGCTTCTGTTGTGCCTTTGAAGTCCATGTATTGGCTGACAAATTCTGTCAGCCGGGCCAGCAAGTGGAGGCACAGTGGAGGTGGGAAGCACTTCCATGTAGCCTCGAGATCCGCTGTGGCCGATAGTTCAAGCTCTTGATGTTCGAGCCGTTCTTCTGCTCCGCCGTGGTTCACTTCCACAGTACAAAAGACACGCTGGGCTGGCACGAATCTGGTGGATAGAGGACTATGAGTGGAGGAGACAAGCAGTGAGCGATGGTCAGTTCCATCCACAGGACAGTGCTTCGCCAAATGAGTCTGCCAGGAAGGGTGCCAGGCAATTCGCGCGCGATGGCGCTGCAAAAGATGTTCAAGACAGACTCATCCGCTCTGACTGCAGTTGCCATGATGCTCGATGCTGGTGCAGCCCCCCTGTGTCACTGCCAAGAGCTGGAAGGTACAGTATCATGTGGCAAGCCAAGCAAGAGGAGTAAGTGCTCGGGGGCCCAAATAGCCTGGCTGCACAGCGCCTGTTGGGCGTGCCTGAGTTCACGGAGGAAGATCTTCTGGATGAGGACCTCGGAAGACCCCATGAAGCCCTCTCGCAACATCTTAGAGCTCTCCCTTCCTTACACTTCACTGCCCTTTCTGCGGATGTCGGGCGTCAGGTCACAGGAAACCGTGAGTTCCGGAAGGGCGCGAGTCGAGCGACTGCTGGCGCAGGTTGCCCGAGTGAGACAGCAGTGAAGTTGAGCTTGAGGGCTTAGGGTGTTCTGGGATTCGGGGGTTTAGGGTTCAGGGGTTTGGGGTTCAGGGGTTCAGGGGTTTAGGGTTTAGGGGTTCATGGGTTTAGGGGTTCATGGGTTTAGAGTTCTCGGGTTTTGGCTTGATGCAGCAGGTACCCAGAGACTCCGAAACCCCTTAATTAAGGAATAGACCTTAAATTATAATAGGGTTCCTATTATAATTTAAGGTCTATTCCTTAATTAATGGGTTTTGGAGGCTCTGGGTATCTAAGTATCTACCCAAGAGCCTGTAACAGCCTGCGTGAATCGACGTTGCAGATGCATCCAGGATGGCTTGCCGGGTTTAGGGTTTAGGGTTTAGGGTTTGGGGTCTAGCAAGCAGGGTGTCCTCATGCATAGGTTGAGAGCATGGCAGTTCGCAGCTTGCCTGAGCGTGGTGCGAGCAGCGGAAGGTGATTTAGGCCCAAACCCCACAACCGGGTAGTCGTGGCCTTGCAGGGTTTGTGCGTTTTGAAACAGGATGGGCTCCAAGTGGTAGGATCCTAAATTAGCGGCTTTAAGCATCATGGGACTTTGTATGTTGGGTTACAAGTAAGGCAACTACAGCGGCAAGACCGGTTTGCAGACTCACAACTCTACTTGCCATGGTTCCCTCAACCCTGAACCCTAACTCATTGTTTCTCCGGGGATCCCCTCCCCATGCCAAGACCGTGGGTCCTTGCTCAAAGTGGCTCTGCTCCTGTTGAGCTGGCTACAGAGTCCGTGCCGTGAGTTTCACCACGGTGCTGTTCTAGGGATGTCTGAGAATCGGGATCAGATAGCTCAAGCCCTCGCTCCTAAACCCACGAAGGCGGCACTCGAAGTGGTCCTTCGATCCCGATTTTCGGAGCCCAGAGTGCCCTGTTATACCCCTCAACTAAGGAAAGATACCTTCTTTCAGCGTTCTTAAGCCCTGCATACTGTAAGCATAGTTGATGAAGGGGTACTGGGCTCTCTGGGAGTGCGATCGTCCAAGCCCACCAAGCACATGTCCAGACCTGTCTCGCGATGCACAGGTGGCCAGAATGGAGGCTGGACAAGAGGACGCCGTGACCGCAACCGCGTTTCGTAGTCTCGGATACCAAATCAACTGTTGAACTTTTGCCTGTAGCTCCAACCCCCTACTGTATCAGAGGCCCTAAACCAATCAGTGAAAGTTAGGGCTCTTGACTCTTGGTTTTCTCAATAAGGTCTTATGACAAAGATCCTCAGCTTCCGCAAAGAAGGTTAGCTTCAGGAAGCAAGATGGAACTTTCCGATTGCAGGCGTTCCGCATCGTCTTCCGCTTTATTTTGGGGGGGTATTGTTGATCTTCGCAGAGTGCCGTTGCGCAGAAAAAGCTCCTCAAGCAGCATCTGTTCATGGAGACGGGGGCATTCTGAAGCCTGAAAACCCAAGTGATAGCTGCAAGTATATAGATATAGATGTAGACATAGCTCGGTACAGTATCATATCCCACTATCTGGACAGGCTCAACTCCTTCATTTTAGTGAACAACTTTACTCCATTCTTCAGCCCTCCAATTCCCAGAGCCCCAACACCTATAAAACCTGTATTGACCTCAACCCTGAGCCCTAAAGCATTGTAGACCCTTTATAGACCCTAGTAGGCCCCTTACACAGCCCTTCTCTAAACAGGACGAGTGTGCTGTCACGGGCAACTTTGGGCGGACGCTCAAGCCCTCGCCCTGGAGTTGTCGTGTTTCCAAAGACCTCATCCCTAAACCCTCAACCGCTTCACCCCAAACCGTAAACCCATGAAGAACATGTCGAAGCGCTGCGTGATCTAGCACCAGGGGGAGTTCCCTGGTCGTTTTTTTTTGCACGGTTCGCGTAGTGTGGGGTTGCCCTAAAGATTGCTAGTAGAGGGGTTAGGGCCTAGGGCTCAGGGCTGTTATAGTTGAGGGTTTATAGGGCTTATAGGGTTTTTACAATAGGGGGCCTTATCACCTGCATGCATGATCCCTGAGAATGAAAACCCTCCTTGAAGCAGGGTTTCGGGGTTAGGCTTTCGGGCTCCGAGGTATCCTAGTGCTTACAGTTGGGGGTTTCCGAAAATAGGGGACCCTACTATAGTACCCCAAATAGTAGGATCCATATTATAAGGACCCCAAAATAAGGTACCCCTTATTTTCGGAAACTCCCAGTTGTATGAAGGAGTTCATTCACAGCTCTGTGCTAAACCCGAAGACCTACCTGGAACTGCCATAATACACTTTTTTGTAGGTCCTTATTATAAACCCCAATATAGAGTGTATAGGAGCCCTACAGAAAAGTAGGTTTTGGTAGTTTTAGGTATTTATGCTTGGCGAAATGATCCTGACCTTGCGAAACACGACTGCAAGGACTCATGGAGTTTGTCATTCCAACGAATTACCTGGAACCGCAAGCACAATCCTACTTAAACGTGAGCCCTATACACCCTAAAAATGAAATGCCTAAAACCTAAAACCAAATCGATGATCATCCTTGAAGTGGCCCTAGCCTTTGCCTCAGGCCGCTTTGTCCCGTGTCCCACTGCCCCATCGAGGCCATGGGAAAGGCTACTCTATGTCCAGGGTTTCAGGCTTAGGGTTTTGGAGTTAGGGGTTTAGGGTTCAGGGTTTAGGGTTTAGGAGTGTTGTTAGGATTTAGGGTTTAGGGTCTAGGGTTCAGGGTCCAGGGTTTAGGGTTTAGGGATTAGGGTTTAGGGTTTGGCGTTTGGGTTTAAGGTTTAGGCCGGGTTTAATGTTTATACGGTTTAGGGATTATGGTTTAGGGTTCGGGGCTTAGGGTATTTTGCTTAGGTGCATCTTACAAACACATATAAAATATTTGTACACCACTAGGTAATTATCAAAGAAGCAAACAGGGAAATCCACTAGGTAATTATCAAAGAAGCAAACAGGGAAATAGGCACAGACTCCAAAAAGGTAAGGTAAGTAAAGTCAGCAAAGTTAAGTAAGTCAGTCAGCAAGTAATTAAGTAAGTGAGTAAGTGAGTAAGTAAGTAGGCAGGTAAGTAAGTAAGCAAGCAAGCAAGTAAGTAAGTAAGTAATTAACTAACTAATTAAGTAAGTAAGTAAGTAAGTAAGTAAGTAAGTAAGTAAGTGAAGTAAGTTAAGTAGGTAAGTAAGGTAAGGTAAGGTAAGGTAAGGTAAGGTAAGGTAAGGTAAGGTAAGGTCAGGTCAGGTCAGGTCAGGTCAGGTCAGGTCAGGTCAGGTCAGGTCAGGTGAGGTCAGGTGAGGTGAGGTGAGGTGAGGTGAGGTGAGGTGAGGTAAGGTAAGGTAAGGTAAGGTAAGTAAGTAAGCAAGTAAGTAAGTAGGTAGGTAAGTAAGTAAGGAAGGAAGGAGGGACTAAAACAGACAAGCAAGCCAGGACATGATTATGTGCTCGTGTAGGATAGATAAGCAGATGGCCAGATAAATAGAAAGATCAGATAAGGTAAGATAAGATGAGACAAAACAAGAGAGGTCGATAGATAGGTAGCTAGATAGATCGCGGTTACATAGGTGCATACATAGGTATATAGATGCATAGGCACATCGATATCGAACTTGTCAACCCCGGCCGAGCCAGAGAGCTGGCAGATATCAAGCAGAGTTGTTTGCAGAGAACACACACACAAGCACATGGAAGGGCAGATGCTTGTGATGCTTCGATCAACTTGTCGAGTTAGCAATCTTTGTATGCGGCTCGGTGCATCGATGCTAGCTTCCTACCGGAAGCACATGGAAACGGACGGATGAGACATGAACGAATTCCACCCTCAAGCTTCACCAACCTCCTAGCTCGAATTGGTGGATGCGCTTCCTTGTGATCCCGAAGCACAGGCTCGAGCACCAACCCCTTAACCTTTATAGGTCCCTTCTGGTGCGGCCCACAAACTGTTCTGGACGTAAGTTGTCTCCATACCACCCAGAAGACCCAGCACCGTGCCCACTAGTACAGTTTCTCAGTGGCGATGGGGAAAAGCTACGGTTTCGCCGTCTTGAAACCCCTAGCACCGAGAGAGTAAAGCAGCAAAAGCCGTCCTTCAACCCCTAAACCCTGCCCTAAACCCATCTAAACCTAAACCCGGAGCCCTCAACCGATCTAAACCCGGAGCCCTCAACCCATCTAAGCCCGGAGCCCTCAACCACATCCTCCACACCTCTCCACTTCCCCCCCACTGCAGCTCCGCATCGCTTGGGAGCCCAGGAGATGATCGATGGGCCGGTCAACATCTTGCAGCTCAGACCATTTAGGGTTATACTAAATTAAATATTAAGTTAGACCATTTAGGGTTATAGTATTATCAAATATTAAGTTAGACCATTTAGGGTTATAGTCTAGTTTGAAACATGTATTTTTGGTACATGCTTTTGCAGAAAATTATGGTCCATGGTGGTTCATCGAAAATTGTGCGATTCCACAGCGATGTCAACCCTATCTTAAGCCCTGGACAACCCAGAACTCCGGACTTAAAGTCGCAGCCCATCGGTTGACACCGTTAACCTTGAAACTTCGGGTGTAGGGTGGTTAAGGGTCCGCGGTTTGCAGACCTTGTGAACATTACACTCTCAAGCCATCCAGCCATCAACATTGAAATGTTGGGGCTTAAAGTTGCTTTGAAGTCCGTGATTGTTTAGGGCTTAGGATGTTTAAGGGCTTACAGGGTCCAGGGTTTTGGTTTCGGCTTTGGGTTTCGGGTGCAGGGCTGCGTCACTAAGTTTTTGTCATCGCCTCCGTGGCCTTTGATGTTCGACGGCCGGTGCACAAACAAGGTCGCACATCTGAGTCCCTTTAGCTTGGACCGTTCGGCTTCAAATCACGCTCCTAGAGTGCAGCAGGCTCTTTTAGAAACTTTGTTCAATAACAGTAGCATATTAGTCTACAAATTCAGAATCTCTGTGGCAGAGTATCAAAGGCACTGTTGGAAACTATGGCCATCAAGCCGGCGACAGGCTGGTTGACTGAGCCATAAAATCATCCACAAGGGAAGCCGAGGGGTATGTTTACTTCAGTAATTCACACGGTTGCTGCGAATTCTCTGTCAATGTTGAAGGCCGCTGCTAGGTTGAAGAGTTCAATTACCTTTCCCAAAGCCCTAAACCCCAAAACCCTAGACCAAAAATCCTAAACCCTAAACCCCAAAACCCAAAAGCCCAAAAGCCCTAAACCGTAAACCCTAAACCGTAGACCCTAATCCCCTTTAGTTGAGGTCCGGAGGGTGGCGGATGCGCACGGAGCCCGGTCATGGCAGCCAGGGCTTGGGAGGGGCGACCTTTGGGCTATGCGATGTGGGATTTAGGGAGTTTGAGTCCAACTCTATCATTATACCGCTGTTTGTTATTATCATTACTATTCTGATTATTACTACTAGTGTTAGTATTAGTAATATTATTCGTATTGTTGTTATGATTATTGTTGCTATTATCCGTATTCTTATGACTTTAATTTCATTTCTTGGTTTTTTGGAGTTTATAAGAATTTTAGTAGTAAGATTGAGTGTCAGGCCGCAGGCCCTGGCCCCTTGCTTAGGTTCTCTAGCGTGTCTCGAGTCAGTCGAGTCTGTGTTTCAGGATTTGCGCCTTGTGGCTTCGGGCAGGCAAGCTGTGGGTTCCGCCCCCAACAAATTGATAGTGACAATAACGGACAATGGCAGTGACATTGGGGTCCCTTCAGAATCCGATTGCACCACTGTTGTGTGGTGGTGCCTCGCCCAAGTCGTGGGATTGCATGGTATCCAGCCCTCCGCAAGTGCCGATCTGAAGCCGAAGCATCCTGGACCCGGGACTACATTGTTCAACCTCAAACCCCGGGAAGTTGTTGCCGTTTGATAATATAGGGGCCTTCATAGTTAGAATAGGGCTTTGAGGCCTATTATACTAAAATTGTAATAAGGACCCCCCCCAAAAAAATAGTATTGGTAATTATTCAGGCCCCTTCATTACCAAACAGTTGCCGGTTTGCCTGCCCCTTGCGCACATGCGCCTCAATAAATGGTGCAGGCAGGGCCTGACACAAAATAGATCGCATAGACTCGGCCGGCTACTGCATCGAACCCGATAAAAGCCCGAGCGCCCCAACCCAAAACCCGTTGACATACACCGTCAACTCCTAACTCCTCCACCCGGGGTGGAGGAGACCCCGATGAGCCCTAAACCCATGGCTAAGGGCCGAGAGCAAATGCATGGGATCCCAGGTGTCTCCTTGGCCAAAGCGTTGTTCCTGGAGCCGGGAGCAGAGGATTACATATAGATATGTGTGTGTATCTATATAACGTGTATATGTATATATATATATATATATCTCTCTCTCTCTGTATATATATATATATATTGCAGACATAAACCCAAGACACATTCAACTTACGTACTGTAACATGGCCAGCCCATTAGCTGGAGCTGCAAACGTCTGAAGGCCCCCTAGGAATTTCGCAGGAAGCAGCTGCCTCAGCACCGCTGGTTGAGGGTTTAGGCTTCCGAATTGAATTCGTCTTACGGACACTCCTTTCCAAAGCCAAGCCCTAAAGCTTGCAGCCCGAACCAGAAGCCCCAAAGCTCAGCCAACATCCTACCCTACGAAAGTGCTACGACAAGGCCCGACCTCCTACTGCTAGTTCCGGACTCAGCTTGGTCTTCGGCTTTGGGACTCATGGTAAGGTGGTCTTATACTTCGTTGCATATATGCATACACCCAAACATGCAGCAGGTTCTTGTTGTTCAGAGTTCACTGCCGCAGATGACCGTATGATCTTCCGAGTTTTTGCCAGCAGCACTGCAGGTCTTACTTTCGATGTTTCTTCGCCATCCGACTGAGGACGAGCCTACAAACCATCTCGACCTGGATGCTGTGTGCGAGCCTGAGCATGAAGGCTTATTTCGGTATATTGTATAGTCTAGCTGTTTGAGATGGGGCTGCAAGGATAGAATTCTGTCGATGTAGTCGGTTGAGATGTCGACTGTTGTCTATGCCATGCCACTCTGGCTGATAGGTGCTTCGCTAAGCCCCCAAACAAGTTCTAGCTGGTTCTTGAAGTCCTCGTCAAGAGATTCGAACACCAGCATCATTACAACGCCGGATTGAGGAGGCTTCAAGTACTTGTGCAAGCCTGCTTGTTGTTTCTTTGACGCCTTTGGTTCTGTAGTTAAGGCGCACCTAGTGTCATAATAGTAGATAATCATAATAACGAATGGCAATAGTAAAGTTTCATAATGCTACGTAACAATGTTAATAAACACCGCTTGCATTATTGTTGTACTATCGCTGTTGCTGTTGCCATTGCTACTCATAATACTATTACTACTTCTTTTATCATTACCATTGCGATTACGTTACGATCACTATCACCATCGTTATTACAAGGACTGATAACTATTACTATTGCTTTTGCTATTACTATCACTATTCGTATTATTATTATTACTATTGTATACTGTTATTAACCCTACTATGATTGTTGTGACTATTGGTAATAAGGTTATCAGTATGCTTATTGTCAGTCCTACTACTGCTACTACTCCTACTCCTCCTACTACTACTACTACTACTACTACTATCTCTGCTATGATTGCTGTTTTACCCTTGTTACTCCTGTTATCGTTTTATGATCATTATTGCTCTTATATTTATATTGGTCGAATGGCTCGCAAGGATTGTACGATTTGGGTCCAGGAGTCCAGGAGTGTGGTTTCGGCGGCTCTGCCAAGGCTTTGGCTGGACGAGTATCTCTGTGAATACCCAAAGTCGGGCGCCGAGATGCAATCCGGGGGCAAACCGTCTATGCAACCGAAACTCCACGACCCTAATTCCCATGGAAATCTTCGGGTAACCCTTATAGGTGTAGCTTCCGGGATGGAGGTGGGTTGTCCTGGTGTGCCCATGTTATTCCTTACCGAGAGTGTTTACTGTAGCACCCTCGTTGAAGGGATCCTGAATAGTGTGCACGGTTTCAGCAGCTCTTCGTTAGAGCTCGCTTCCGAAATATGAAACTGGTTAGGGCCGTGACCGCCTCTTTGAAGCTGTTACTTTTGGCGGAATTTGAAATTCAGGATTAGGACTTCCTTTCGGATGCAAAAGGGGCAGTTTGCGTGGCTTCCGTGCCACACGAAGTCCGCAGAACGCCTGTAGCGCCGGTTCTGATGTGGCCAGGACACTTCTGGTGGTTTCCCATGATGCCGACTTCCTTGACTCTGTTTGTACAGACGTCCTCCACTTGGAGGCCGGAGGTTTTTGAAACTCTGAAGCTTCCTCTCTATCATACAGGATTCAAACCATGAGCCTCGCCCGCATAGTAACTAAGTCCATGGACAGAGCACATCGGCTGATTTTTCAATCGTTGGAACAACCTTATTGACCTAAGCACAACCGCGCTGACATGCTGATCCATTTATTGCCTATTGCCAGCTCCGAGGGAGTCATATCGTTCATGTTAGTGTCGGGCCCACACTGAACACATTGCAACTAGCCCTAATGATGTGTTCTGTTGCTTACATCACAACTTCGCATGCGACCCTTGCTACCGGAACCAGGCAGATAACATCGTACAGGTTAAAGATTCATAGGTGGACTACGGAAGATTTCCCCCTTCGCGCCTAGAGTGTTTTGAAACATCCATCTGATGTCAAACCTTACTTTGCAAGACGCTCTGTGTCTTCGTAAAGGAGCGCAAGCTCATCCCTTACCGTGGCGGCTATACGGTTCAGAACTCAGCTTCTGGTTCAGGCAGGCTGCATCCAACAAGTCGAGTTTGGTGACTGATTGTCATCTAGGCGTCGGGGTTAGGCCGGATAGCTCTCAGACCCCGAATCCGGGTAATTTGTGAACTTGAGCTTTTCTGGGCTGTGCGGGTCTTCCAGAGTCAGCAGCACTTTTGGGTTCATGTGTAGTGAAGGCTGGCTGGTGCAAATCATACGGGTGCAGGATGTGATGTATATGGTTGCTTTGCAGACAGCTTGGCTCGAGACTTTGCCTGGCAAGATTCTTACAGCATCCCTTGGACAAGAGTGTTCCATTGGACTCCTTTGTCAATCCACGTGTCAGACTGTCGCAGGAGTGTCTTTCCTTCGTGCGGCGGTTTCTGTGGACGTGCTACACACAAAACCGATGCCCAATCCACAATCCTAGATACCAGACTGATACCTTCGCTGGTGCCCGATGTGTGTGGGTTGCATCTAGGGTGTTCGCACTTCCTTGCCAGTAGCTCTTATGTCTGACTAAAACATTAAAGGAATTGTCCTGGCACTGGCGTCGCTTCGATCTCTACCGTTACATTACTGGCTCTGATACTGAATGATTTCTTAGACTTGACAAGATGGATGTCGTGCGTGTAGTGACGTACAGGGATACCTTTTCACTGCCCCAATTCAGTCCCTGGTTCCCCTGCTGGACCCCGTTGTCAACCAATTGTTGAAGACAACTCGGGCGAGGAGCCCCAACACAAATCTCCAGAAGAAACAGCTTTGAACCCACAAACGACAGTTTCGTTTGCCGTAACCCGGCCGAGCTCAAGTTCTCGCCGAGGAGTTTAAGAAGGGACATGCAGCACGGGTGCGCGATCGAGAGAAAGAGCCACCTGCTTGGACCGAGTGAAGCTTTGGGGCTTGTGGTGTGAAGGCTTGGTAACCCAAAGGGTCTTATAGGAGCTTTGGCATTGGATTCTGGCGCGGGTCTTGCATTTCGAAAAGACGGTGCATACACAAGATTGAGAGACCGGCGTCGTAATTAATTTCGGGTTCTTAATTATATGAGGTTTGAGGTTTGGGCAGGGTCAAAATGGATCACAGCTTTCAGGATGTTTTTTTTTGAGATTTGCGCCTCCGTGTTCAGGATTTTTTGAATTAGCGGCCGGGCAAGTAGGGCTCTGAGTTTCTTTTGGAGGCAATGACTTCAGCTCAGTAAAGACCTTGGTGCATCAATCCAAGAAGAAAAATTCGACAATATTCCCTTCGAGGTCATTGTTTATGATTTCAATCGGCTCCAAGCTTTCCTGCCCACAATTTCAGAGCACTGGAGTAGGTAGGCTAGACCCTAAACCCTAAACCGCGGCTAGGCACGATGTCCGAAGTTTTCAGGTTCAAAAAGCAGCAGGAGGACAAGAAAGCCGGAAAGAAGCAGCATCCGGACGAGGCGCGCTTTGTAACGCACTGGAAGCGAGTCCCATAAGTAAAGAATCGTGTCCCGGGTTCTATATGGGCTCGAGTCGGGTACTAAAAGGGTTCAGTTCTGCGTTATCTTTGGTTGTTCGAACGCCCGAGACCCCTCGGTTTCAGGAAGTGGAGCGGTTTGCGCTCAGGTCTTTTCGTAGTGTCCAGCGATTAGGGAAATCTTGATTGACGACCGGAGGAAGGTACTTGGATGCCGGAGCTACTAAGCGAATCGCGTGTATGTGACTTTCAAAGCGCCTGCATCGTCACCCCCGGCCAGCCTGGTAGCAGCCCAAGAAATATCGATCAACGTAGTTTCACCAGCTCGCGTCGCCAAAGGCGACATCCGGAGTGAAGCCATGAATGCAAGCGCAGATGCGAGCAACCAACTGGACTTAGTCCTGGAGCGCGCAGGCCTCGATTCACGGGCCCAGTACTTTGTACCAGTTATGTTCGGCATCGCTCTGGGGACCTGTGCCTTGGGCACGGCACTGCTCATGTTCGCGACTTGGCGCAGCGCCCGCAAGCTCCCAGGGAGCCAGCCGGACACATCACCGGGCCAGGAGGCCCCAGTCACTGTCGGGTCGTCCACAAGTCCAGATGATGTGCATGTTTCCACGGGAAGCCAAGACAAACAGGCACTGAAAGAGGCAAAGGGGGAGCAGCGAACTGTGTCGTCTGCGAGACGGCTTTGTCAAGTTCTCATCGTCTTTTCGACTACCTTTGGACTTTGCGTCGGTGTCACCATTGCTGGGGTGATTGACGGTAGTCTGACAAAGGAAACCGGGCTTGCATGGGAGAGCTATGTTCTTCTTCTCAGTTGTGCATGTGCTTGGATGCTGGTACAGGCTTGTGTAGTTGTCCTCACACTGCAACCAGGCAGGGGTTACACGCCTGCAGCATTCGCAGAAGCGATGCTGAGCGGCATGTTCCCGTTTGTCGCAGACTCCTTTGACACGCTGAAGGACGTGATCTTCGGAGGTTTATGTTTCAAGTCCACAAGTACCGGGTTACACGTGTTGGGCGTTTTGAGTTGGGTTTACCTGTACTTGTTTCATCTCGGCCTCTTGGGCTACGTCTACGGCTACTTTTTGACGGACTTGTCTAGCAGCCATCTCTCAGTCTTCGCTCTTTCAACAATTGATTTGAAGGCTCGTCCTGCAAGCCTGAGCCGGACTGAAAAGGTGCTGGCCGCTCTTGGTAAACAGCTGTCCCCGGCAAAGCGGCACCTTCTTTTGGTAGAGAATGTGCCGCAAGCAGGGATGGCGATCATTTACCTAGCAACTGAGGGAGGGAGCTTACTCGTAGCTTTGCTAAACCTCGCCATCCCTGCGGGACAGGTGTTTGCTTCTGTTTTCCTGCACAAGCCGCTGCAAAGGCGGCTCGCCCGCTGGTATGCGCAGCGCCTGGATGCGGCCCTCGATGACGCAGACGCAGTTCTGGGGCGCCGCATGTGCCGCGAGATTGTTGGTGGAGGGCCAGAATTAATGCATCGCGTGGCTTGGCATAGCGCTTATTTAAGTAAAATTTACTATGCACGGGAGCAGGTCCTTCTACGCCGAGGAGACATTGTCGTGGCAGGAGAACCACTCCTTGAAGGTGCAGATGAGCTCGCGCTGGAACTGTGTTGCACGTGCATAAAATCCGCAGAATCCGAAGATTTCGATGGAGAGTTGGACATTAGCGGTATAGACTTACAGAGCCAACACGAAGTTCTCCAGGCCTTGGTGAACTTCGCCTTCTTCTCGGCCTGGGTTGAAAAGCTATGGTTCTATTACTGCAAGTTGACGGGACAGGACGTTGAGGCCTTGTCTGCTGCCATGAGCGAGGCAAGCGCCCACCGACGGGGCCCGAGACGTCTCTCCTTGACCCAAAATGAGTTCGGGGACGAGGGAGTTTTTGCTTTGGCAAGGGCGCTCCCCAACCTGCACCTCGAGGAGCTGTACATGTGCGACTGCAACATCACCAATGAAGGAGTTTCTGCTCTAGCACGAGTGTTGCCGCAGTGCCGTGACCTGAAAGGGCTTTACCTGTATGGCAATTCGTTTGAAGACGTGGCCCGGGCAAGGCAGGCCCTCGAATCAGCCCGTCCGGACATCACCGTTTCCCTCAGCACGAAGCAGCGAGAATAGCTCGGAAAGCGGAGCTTCGTTGAGTTGTTTCACTGTGAATTTGCGATTTGCTTGCATGCTGCCTGCAAAACACGCGCTGCTCTGAGGGACGAGTCGCACTTGGCACGTCTGCTCAGGCGTGGCAGTCTATGTCAACATACCACGCTGTAGTTTGTGAATGTTTGTGCTACGCCAAATACCAACAAGTACAATATACTTGCTCCGACTGCATCAAGCCATACCGTGAGGTGGTTGAGAAGATCAAAGACTATGTCGGCTCCACAGCGATGGGATGTGACGGAGACCTAATGTCAAATGTCGAACTCAACACCCTTTACTGCCGGTCCTGGTTTGTAGTCTGCAAAGTACATTGACATGACGGCTCCCTCTGGGGGGCTGCTTGCCGGCTCCACCCTAAACCCTAAACCCTAGGCCCTAAACCCTGCTCACTTAGTTGAGTGGTGTGGTGCAGGGTTCACCTTGTTTCAAGATGTCAAGACTTCTTGGCGTCGCAGGGCCACTAGTCTACACGAGATGATTTGCACATGGGCAAACTCGGCTTGCCTGTGAGATTGCAAGCATCGTAGGGGTTGCGGGGCCGTGGCTGGAGGCTCCCGGCTTTAACTGCGAGGCTCGATGAAGTGGTTGCACACCCCAGGCCCGGATAGAACAGATTCCGCCTGCTTGAAAGATTTTCTCAGACCCCGTAGACATGCAAGCAAAGGATGAGGAGGTCCCCTTCGAGACGTGTGGCTTCATGATGCATTGGATCTGTTTGGGGGTGGTCTTCAGGCCTCAAACCCCTAAACCCTATAGAGAAAACCTAAACCCTTAATGTGGTTTTCAGGCCCTAAGAACCTCAGGACACAAGCCCAAACGAGAGACTGAGGTGGTCAAGTTCCGATTTCTGCCTCCGCCATCCCGGGGTGACGACATGGGCGGGATCTCTGCAGGGAACTTAGACGACCCTGCACTGACCCTTCACCAAAGAATTCGGAACGAGCTTTGGAGTTTGGAGCTTGGGGTTTGCGGTTTGGGCTTCGGGGGTTTATGGTCCAGGATTTTCGGGTTTAGGGTTTAGGCGGTTTAGGTGCCTAAACCCTAAACCCTAAGCCCTAAACCGCATCCATTTTTTGGCGCTTCCGGGTGGGCGGCTTCAGGTACGACGCGCGGCAGCCTTGGGCTTTCCGGGTTATCCAGCGCATGCTGTCACCCAGTGCGAGTTTCAATGTTGGTTTCGAGCTTCCCACCTGACTGCCTGATACATTACCTGTCATTACCTTCATCAACTTCAGGCGTTCAGTCAATTTGCGGTTCATATCTCCAGCCAGTTGAAGGCATCGATGCTTTGGTAGGAAACGATGGTGGAGATCAGTTTCGCTACTTAACCCGATCCATCGAAACCTAACAGTCCGAAGTCAGATGATCCAAGCGTGAGGACTCTCAGTCCAGGATCCTTTCAAGACGAAGCCTTGGTAATGGGTAGTTCTCTAAGACTAGGTGCTCCTTTCTGATAAGGGTGCCGTACTATTTTCGGGAACCCAGCAAAGGGACCCTGATGTAGAGAACTACCCGACTACCCAAATGCTTTCAACAGAGTACGAGAGCCCCTGGGAAGCCCTAAACCCTAAACCCTAAACCCTAAACCCTAAACCCTAAACCCTAAACCCTGAGCTTGGCCCAGAGATCCCAAAACCGAAGCCCAGACCTCAGGCCCCCAACCACATGAGGGTTTAGGGTTTTGGGCTTTAGGGCTTTCGTAATTTAGGGTTTAGTCTCCAAGAGGGTTTATGGTTTTGGGCTTTAGGGCTTTAGGGTTTAGGGTTTAGGGTTTAGTCTTGAAGCCTGGTATCTTAATCAGGCTAGGCATTTCCACCGGAACAGTGCGCACAACACCACCGACGTACCAGCCTGACCCTACTCACCAAAGCCTTAAGGCCCCGAAGCCAACTTCCTCAAAGGTCCATGATGTCGATTTCAGCTACTCCGGCCCTGCGCCCCAGACGTTTCGGGTGTCGGCTCGTGGCCTTGCAAAATTCAGAGCTTCTCTCGCAAAGCCCGTAACCACCCCAAGATGCAAAAGGCAAAGCAAGCATCTCACGCCCTCAAACCTAGCTTTCCTGCCTCCTTGGAGACCCTAACCTATACACTGCTTGACCCAGCGCCCGAGCCCTAATCTAAACCCACTCCGACAAGCCCTTACCCGAAACGCGAACTTTTACAACTCCCTAAATCGACCGCCTAAGCCCTAGACTCCAACGCTTAGAACTTAGCTACGGAAGCCCTAAGCCGCAACCTCCCCAATCCTGAAAACTCATATCCGAAGCCGTAAACCCGAACCTTCGAAACCCTTACCCTCTGGCCCCCACTGTAAACTCTGAACCCTAATCTTTAAACCTCTCTCTGTCTATATATATATATATACATACATATATATAATATATATATATATATATATATATAAAGGCAAAAAGCCCTGGCTGCTTCATGGGCTGAACTTCCGGGTCGATGTCAGTCCCTCAGCACCCCTTGCGTTTTGGGGTTGAGGCTTTAGGGTTTTGGGGTTTATGCAGGGTTTGCAGTTTAGGGTTCAGGGTTTAGCTGTGGAGGCTGGGTTTTTGCGGTATGTTGAGTTTTGGTTCTGCTTTCTGTGGGGGAAGGTGTTGCGGATTCTTCCGGCCTCTATATTTTTAACGGTGTTGTGTTTAGGGTTTGGGAAACGCTTCATACATTTTCAGCTGCAAAGGGGATCAGCTCCATCGATCAGGGTTCGCATGGGTCATGGAGTCTGGCCGTACACTGCTCGGTTGTGATCTCTAACTCTACTTGCAGTGCTATCAGCAGGAATGTGGTGAGTGGAGGCCAGTTGGGTGAAGATGGCATGGCCTGTCCCTTTTTGCGTGGTGAGATGGTCTCGAAGTGAATGGCTCTTATCATCGCTTACATTGCGCCTGAAGGCTTTTGAAAGTCCAGGAGTAGAGTAGCCGGCGTGAAGAATTGGGGCTTAATACAGGGGCCTTAATAATTTGAATAAGGTTTGGTATATTATACTATACTATAATAAGGAACCCCCAAACCCCTATTCGAATAATTAAGCCCTCTATATTGGGGTTGATAGGGTTCCGAATTTCGCCCCGGAAGCCCGATGCCCGAGACATCCACGCGGGTCGCCGTCGTGGGCCCGAATGGCGCAGGCTGCGACAGGGGAGTTCGGAGCTGGAGCTGATCTGTATTAAACTGAGAGCCCTGGACGAACGACTACAGCAAGTACTACTGCTCCCATCACTACGTATACCGTATACTCCTCCCAGCACTACTGCTGCTAGCTTCTTCTTCTACTGCCTCAGGCAGCCGCAGCTGACACGTTCATCCTAAAGACAAGCTTGCGAGGGAAATCGACACTGCTCAACCTCATCGCGAAAGTCTCCGTCCCTGTGAACGGAGACGTGGCAGCGGCCCCAGTCGTCTCTAGAGCAGCGCTGCAAGGATGTACTGACTGTTTTGCATCTCCTTTTGCCAAACTTTTGGTAGGATTCCTAGCCTCCTTGATCGAGTATGGTTTTTGCATTCTCAGAGTCTCCTAAGGCGACGGATGAAACACAGCCCTTGGCTGCAGTTCCCTTAGGTGCACTCTCGGGGCCTCACCGTGTGCCGCTACTCGCAGCACTTCGATGAGATCGCCGGAGCCTCACAGCAACGGATTGTCTGACTGACGACCAAGAGAATAGCCGCACTGACACCAACATGGACATGGACGTCTCAAAAGACCGAGGGCAAAAAGCACCCTTCGCGCCTTGAAGCTTTCGGATTTAGCATCCTCTTCAGGTTCTAGTGACTGGACTCTCCAGCTCAGGGGGCGAAACTCGAAATCTGACGCTGGAAGCCTCAAGCCACACACAAGCGGGGAACCAGATGCAACACATAGCGAAAATACCTTACCAAAGAACACAAAAACCAATGCTCATGTGTATATATATATATATATGTATATATATATATAGATGTATATATATATATATACATATATACATATACACATCTACATATGCTCCTGAATATATTCGTGTGCCTATATTATATGTATGCATGCATGGATGTCTCTATTTGTGTGCATATGTGTAAGCATTTAGTTTCTTATAGCAGCCTAAACCCTCAACCTTAAACCCTATAAGCCCTAACCCTTAAACCCTAAACCCTAAAAGCCTTAAGCCTTAAACTCTATTCGCCAGATGTAGCAGCCCTGAGCCCTGGAATCCAGGCCCGGCCGGTGGCTCAGGGCCTTTCTGCGGTCGAGTTCCTGACGTCCTCGGCGCGGACCCGAGCGTCCGATCGACGGGTGGGCTCCCTTCTTTTAACCCTATAGGGTTTTGGGTTTGGGGCTTATAGGGTTTAGGATTTAGGGTTTAGGGCTCAGGGTTCAGGGTTTAGGGTTTGGGGTTTATAACGTTTAGGGTTTAGGATTAAGGGTTTAGGGTTTAGGGCTTAGGGTTTATTGTTTAGGGTTTAGGGTTTAGGGGCTCCATGTACATGTATAGTATATACATAGGCCTTGAAGTACTTGTATAGGAGCCCCTTTAAGGCTTAAGTATATACTAAAGGGGTACATGGAGCCTTTGGGGAAGGAGGGTTAGAGGTCGTCATATTTAGGATCCGGTTGTGTGAAGGTCCAGTTCACTGTTCAAGCTGTTGTTTTTCGTTGGGAGAATTGGTGTTCAGATGTAGGAGCTTGGTCTGGAGTCCAAATCTCAAAAAGTCGTCTTGTTTTAGACCGACAGCTAGAGTTGTAGCAGGTATGTCTGAAAGCGCGAGCAAGTTTGCTACACGTAGGGGTCTGAAGCATTCTGTTATACCGTCCATTCTTGTCCTTTTATACCTGTATAATACATCCTGAAACCCTTGCATTCTTGGAGCTCCGCCCGTTGAATTTATGACCCTTGTTTGGTTAAATTCTGTTCAGACCAACATCGCGAATGCAGCACACGGGCCCTTCTTTGCACTTCCAACTGGGTGGATGGATGGTT